GTTAAGTGCGCGGACTCTAATCTGGGAGAACCGGGTTTGATTCCCCACTCCTCGACTTGCACCTGCTGGATGACCTTGGGCAAGCCGTAGTTCTGATAAGAGCTGTTCTTGAAAAAGAACAGTTTCTGTCAAGAGCTCTCTCAGCCGCTCCGCCTACCTCCCAGGGTGCCTGTTGTGGGGGGGGGAGGGAAAGGAGATTGTCAGCCGCTCTGAAACACCTTTGGGTTGTGAAGGGCGGGGGTATAAATCCAATCTCTTCTCTTCTTCTTCTTCTACCTTGCCGGACATCGGTGCTGGCATGTGGATGGTTGCTCCCGAAATGCTTGAGAGCAGAGGGCCGTTAAGGGAGGCAGAGCGTGCCTGGCTCTCGACCCAGGTTGGAGAACTTCCGGGTTGAGTGCGGGCACGGGAAACAGAGCCAGAAGCAGAGTGAAGGTTGCCAACTAGGCGTGTCAGCCTCCAGGTGGGGCCTGGAGCTCTCCCGCTATTACAACCGGTCTCCAGACTACAAAGATCAGTTCCCCTGGAGAAAAGGGCTGCTTTGGAGGGGTGGACTCTATGAACATAAGGGCACAAGAGGAGCCCTGCTGGATCATACCAGTGGTCCCTCTAGCCCAGCATCCTGTCTCACACAGTGGCCAACCAGTTCCTCTGGAGGGCCAGCAACAGGGCAGAGAGGCCGAGGCCTTCATGAGAACATCAGAAGAGCCCTGCTGGATCAGACCAGTGGTCCACTTAGTCCAGCATCCTGTCTCACACAAGGGCCAACTACTTCCTCTGGAGGGCCGACAACAGGGCAGAGAGGCCGAGGCCTTCATAAGGACATCAGAAGAGCCCTGCTGGATCAGACCAGTGAGGGTCCATCTAGTCCAGCATCCTGCCTCACACTTGGCCAACCAGTTCCTCTGGAGGGTGAATAACAGGGCATAGAGGCTGAGGCCTTCTCCTGATGTTGCCTCCTGGCTCTGGGATTCAGAGGATTAGTGCCTCTGAATGTGGAGGTTCCCCTCAGTCACCATGGCTAGTAGCCACTGATAGACCTAACCTCCATGAATCTCTCGATTCCCCTTGTCGAGCTGTTTATTCTTGTGTCCATCACGACATCCTCTGGCAGGGAATTCACCATTTTAATTACTTTCTGTGTTAAAGAAGTATTTCCTTTTGTCCATCCTGAACCTACTGCCCATCAGCTACATTGGATGCCCTCGAGTTCTAGTCTTTTGGGAGAGGGAGAAATTTTTCTTTGTCTGGGTGTCCCAGGAGCATGTCATGCGGCAGGGGGAGGGGGTCCCTCCAATACCGCCGCAATTTGCCCTTGCTAAATTAACCTTCCCTCCCCCCACAAACATCTAGGGCAGGGGTCCCCAATGTTTTTGAGCCTGCAGACACTTTTGGGATTGTGAGAGACTGGTGAGCGCCACCTCAAAATTGCCACCCCAGGAGGTGGCCGTCAAACCCAAAATGGCCGCCACCAGAGGTGGAGTTAAACCCAAAATGGCCGCCACCAGAGGTGGAGTCAAACCCAAAATGGCCGCCACCAGAGGTGGAGTCAAACCCAAAATGGCCACCACCAGAGGTTGAGTCAAACCCAAAATGGCTGCCTCAGGAGGCAGGCCCAAATGGAATACCGCCTTCCTCACATCTCCTGGGAAGATGGAAATCCCGAGGGAGGAATGGAACCACACACTGGCTAAGGAAAGCCCAAGCGCTTACCAGTCCTCCGCATCCTCCCGTAGGTACAGTTGCCAGCTCTGGGTTGGGACACACCTGGAAATTTGGGGGGTGCAGGGCAGGACCTCCGTGGGGTATAAATGCCATAAAATCCAACCTCTGAAGCAGCCATTTTCTCTAGGGGAACTGCTCTGTGTCATCTGGAGAGCAATTCTAATTCCAGGATATCTCCAGGCAGCCCTATCCAGTGGAAGCCCCTTTCCCTTTGAGGGGAGCGGTGGCACAGGGGATTTATCCTCTGGTTAAACATCTGAGCTGAACAGGACTGCTGTCAGTTCGAGCCCCGCACTGGTGTGAGCTGCCAGCCGTGTCCCCAGCTCGCCGTCCACCCAGCGGTTTGAAAGCTTCGGTGAGTAGATAAAATGGGTACCACTCCTTAGAGAGGGTGGGCACACTTAACCCCCCCGGTGGGAAGTGTTAGCTGACAAACGGAAGGTCCGTGCATTAGATCAAAAGCTGAGCTATGCAGCCTGCAATGGGCCATTCCGGCCAGACGGTGGCAGTGGTGCGCTGCAACTGAGAAAAATGTTGATGACGCCGACTAAAGAATGCTGTTGGAACACACGTCTGATGCTTACAGCTGACCAAACTCTCTGTCAACTGCGAAGTGTGTGTGATTAAAAATGATATATGTTGTCCTCCCTTACCCCCATCATTGATAGTTAACTGTAAATCGCTCAGAGCCGGCAGCTCTGCAAGGATTGAGCGATCAATAAATTGAAAAGATTATTATTATTCATTGGCACGAGGGTAGCCAATAACAGGTCCTACCTTACAGGGCCCCGCCCACTTCCTGAAAAGCTCAGCGGGCATCAAGAGAAGTACTAGCAGGGACCTCGGTGCCCAGGGGCATCGTGTTGGGGAACCCCTGATCGAGGGTATCCCTTCCTCCCTCATGGCACCACCTCCGGCACACTCCTCCCCCCCCCCCACATGTTCTTCAGTGTGGTGTGGTGGTGAAGTGCGCGGACTCTGATCTGGGAGAACCTGGCTTGATTCCCCACTCCTCCACTTGCACCTGCTGGATGACCTTGGGCAAGCCGTTGTTCTCTCAGAGCTGTTCTCTCAAGGGCAGTTTCTGTCAGAGCTCTCTCAGCCCCACCTACCCCACAGGGTGTCTGCTGTGGGAAAGGAAAGGGAAAGGAGTTTGTGAGCCGCGCTGAGACTCCGAATGAAGGGCGGGGTATAAATCCAAACTTCTCTTCTTCTTCAGGAGCCCACAGTCCCTCTGGGCACCCTCCTCCTTGAATGTCAAATCTTTGTGGGGAGGGAAACTCCTCTCCCTTCCCCTCCCCACAACAGACACCCTGTGAGGTCGGTGGGGCTGAGAGAGCTCTTGACATAAACGGCTCTTTTTCAAGGACAGCTCTTATCAGAGCTACAGCTTGCCCAAGGTCATCCAGCAGCTGCAAGTGGAGGAGTGGGGGAATCAAACCCGGTTCTCCCAGATTAGATTCCGCGCACTTCACCACGACACCAAACTGGCTACACAGACTAGATGGGCCACTGGCCTGATCCAACACTGGCTTCTCTTAACGTTCTTATGAGAACAAGTCACAAAGTGTCAAGCAGGCCGCTGAGACATCGTGGGGCT